ATTTTCTTGAGCTCATTCTGGTCAGAGTTGTTCAAATTAGCACGGACAAAACTTAAATACATCACAACATATCACCCTCAAAGTGATGGCCAAACTGAAGTGGTGAACAGGTGCCTAGAAACTTACTTGAGGTGTTTGAGTGGCAGGCAACCTAGACAGTGGGTAAAATGGCTTCCTTGGACAGAATACTAGTTCAACACTAACTACCACAGTTCTTTGAAAGGTACTCCTTATCAAGCTTTGTTTGGACAACAACCCCCTTCTATCATCAGAGGAGATGTAAATTTGACTGCAATTGATGAAGTGGCCAAACTGACAACGGGAAGGAATATAATGTTGAAAGAATTAAAGGAGAATTTGGCTAGAGCTCAGAACTTGATGAAGCAACAAGCTGATAATGAGGGAAGAAAAACTTGAAGTGGGAGACAAGGTTTTTCTTGAGATACACCCATATAAAATGAAAAGTCTAGCTAAGAAGATCAATCAAAAGCTCAGCCCAAGATTCTATGGTCCCTATGATATTGCAGAGAAGCTAAGTCCGGTAGCTTTCACACTCATATTACCAGAGGGAAGTAGAATACATCCTGTATTCCACATATCATTGTTGAAGAAAGTTCTGAAACCTACAGTGACTTATCAAAACCTCCCAAATTACCTCACAGAAGATTGTAAGTTGCAAGTGAGACCAGAAGCTGTGAGAGACAGCAGGTTGAATCAGGAAGGGAAGAAGGAGGTCCTAGTGCATTGGCAGGATCTTCCTGATTTTGAGGAGTCATGGGAGGATATTCAAATGATCCAAGATCAGTTCCCTGACTTTCAACTTGAGGACAAGTTGGTTCTGCAAGGAGGGGGTATTGATAAGGATCCGCCTAGTCTAAATAATCAGAATAGATTTTATGGGCGAGTTTATTCTAGAAGACCTAAATAGACTAGAGAGTTATTAGTTGGAGGTTGTTAGTAACTAATAACTACCTTATGTTTTTAGAAGGTTATAAATAGAATAATGCTGTTGTGGGAATTAGGGGTGGGCAAGAATACAGGAAAATCGGTATACCTCACTTACCGTACCGAAAAATACCGGAAAATACCGGAATATTGGTATACCGTCATTTTCGGTACGGTATGATACCGTACCGATATATTTCGGTACGATAACGGTAAATGTTTTCAAAATACCGTGGTATACCGGTATAATACCGTACCGACTCCCACCCAACGATTACTATAAATTCTAAAATATTGTAAAAATCCATTACAAGTTTGAAGCCCAAAATTAATACTTATGTTGGTTACAAATACTAAAATACAAAAATAAAGGCCCGATTTCCCAAACCCACTATAACCTTCTAGGCTTCTACTACACAACATTCAAACAAACAAACCCTAATGACTAATGAGTAATGTACTAATGTCTGGACCAGTCCATCTTGTTCCATAAGCTTGCGAGTCGCGATGACTGAGCCGCTGAGTAGGTGACGAGTGAAGAGGGATACACTTATGTGACGAGTGTATTGACATAGAGATTCCGCAAGTCGAGGCACATAACTTTGTCCGAAAGTCTTATTCAAATATTTTATTTAAAATTATAAAAAAGACTAAATAATACACAATATCATATTATGGATACATGATTTTATATCCACGTTGTTTGAATAACTTTATTTATTTTTGTTAGTGATCACTATTCATTTAATTATATCTATATTGCTCAAGTTATTTAAATATGCTGAACTGCTTAAATATAATAATAATAATAATAATAATTGTTCAATATTGAATATGACATCAATAGATTATTAATTGTATTTTGTAACATTTTAATAATGAATTAAATATGTCGTTAGTACACCGATTTACTATATTTTGTTAGTCTATGATAATTTTTTGAATTGGGGGACATGCATGGTAATTTACCTATACCGTACCGTTACCGAACCGAAACTTCGGTATACCGAAATGCGGTATACCGAAACTTCGGTAAGGTAACGGTATATAAATTTTGTATACCGAAAATTTCGGTACGGTAAAGGTATGAGAGAAAATATTCGGTATATCGTACCGAACCACCCCTAGTGGGAATGCAGGCTGTTTTAGACTTAGTCTTGGGACTTGGGAAGATTGAGATTCTCTCTCTCTCTATTCGAAACACTTGAGATTTAATTTAAAGAGATTAATAGCACTACTCATACCAACAAGGTGCATCTCCTTTTAAGGGAGCTCATTAGCCAAGAACTCCAAAGTTAAGCGTGCTTGCACGGGAGTAGTCTTGGGATGGGTGACCCCCTGTGAAGTTTCTCAGGGCGCGCACGAGTGAGGACAAAGTGCGCGGAAAAGGCTAGTGGCGGTTTGTGAGGACAGTACTAGAAGTCAGAAGTAACTACCTCGGGACCTACGGGACCGGGGTGTTACAAATGGTATCAAAGCAATCCTGCGACAGTGTGTTACAAATAGTACTACTCATACCAACAAGGTGCATCTCCTTTTAAAGGAACTCATTAGCCAAGAACTCCAAAGTTAAGCGTGCTTGCACGGGAGTAGTTTTGGGATGGATGACCCCCTGGGAAGTTTCTCAGGGCGCGCACGAGTGAGGACAAAGTGCGCGGAAAAGGCTAGTGGCGGTTTGTGAGGACAGTACTAGAGGTCAGAAGTAATTACCTCGGGACCTACGGGGCCGGGGTGTTACACTTGTTCATCTCTAATAAAGTTTGCACTTGATTCTTGATATAGTTCTATGTAATTTCTCTGCATAATTGAAGTGTTCTAACAATCAGCTTTTTAATAGGTAGTCGACCGGTTACCCGGTTAACCGCTTGTCCGCTTACGTGGATGTCCGACGTGGCGTTTTTTTTTCCTGTTTTCCAATGTTTTTTACTTCTATTTTCTTTTTCTTCTTTCTTTTTTCTTCTCTTTTTTCCCTTCGTTCTTCTTCTTGGTCCGCACCTCTTCCCCTTCCCGATCTGGTTGTCTCCTTCGTTTCTTTCTTTCTTGGCTCCCAGTGGAACCAACTCCACACCTTCTGCCTCTCTAGCCACCATCTCGGCTTTCCAGCCTCCATAGCCACCGCCTCAAGAGTCCGGCCTACACATTCACCTCAACCGCCCCTTCCGCCATACAACAAACTACCTCCGGCTATCACCTATGTGGCCTTCCCCTTCGCCTCCAAGCGACCTCCAGCCGCAACGGCTTCCACAACCGTCTCCCTTACCATCGTATCCACAGCCTCCGGCTTCCACCTCCACGGTCTCCAACTCTGCCTCTTCAATGGAATGACCTCCAACTAGTGATGGACCGGTATCGGCCCGAACGGCCCGTGAACTGGCCCGGCCCGAGAGTCGGTTACCGGTTACGGGCCTAGGACCGGCCCGGGGACTTAGGGCGGGGCGGTTCTGGGCTGCCATTCCTTTGGAACCGGCACGGCCGGTTCGGGCATTTTTTTCAATTTTTTAATTAGAAAAGCACAAAAAAAGGACCGGCCCGAGCCTGACCTGGACTCGATGGATACCCAGGCCAGTTCTGGCCTTCCCCCAACAATAAAAAGCCCGCCCATGACCGGCCCGGAGCCCGAAATTGGCCCATGGCTACCTCTAACCACCCGATCTCCAACTCCGCCTCTTCCATGGAACGTCTCCAACCACCCGATCTTCATAGCCACCGTCACCACCCCAAGATCTGTAGTTGTAGATGCAGGGAGGGAAGAGGAGTTCAATTTGAAGGGGAGATATCGAGACGGAGCGCCGACACAGAAGAGGAGTGGATTGAAAAAAAAATAGAAAATATTGAAAAAATGCCAAATGGATGTCCACGTAGGCAGTTAACCGAACAACCGGTTGGCAACCTATTAAATATCCGATTTGGTCATTTTTTGATAGGAAATGGACTTGATTGACTCAAAAAAAATCATGGACTCAATTGACTTTTCTTGAAAGTAGGTGGACCTATTTGAGCGTTTTCTTATTTTTTTTCCTTTAAAAACTAAATAAAACAAAACAAGTGCAGTAAAAGTTGCTTCCGTTTCAGTATATACGGAGTATTTTTTTGCAAGGAATCCGTTTCGGTATATCATTATAGTTGGAAGTGTTTTTTTCAAAACAAAACCAATATCATCAAAACTCATAACCATAAGGAACGAGCCCTTAATAAACCGGTATTGAATTGATATCGATGCGAGATTTTATTTTTTACATAAAATACAAGAGACAGTGCCGGCCATGTTTCTCACAAATAGGACCCGAAATATAAATGGGAGATACCTTAACAGTATTAAAACATAGCGTTTGCCCCAAAATAGGAGCACCTAGTTTAAACATTAACTTTTATTATGATTGGAGTCATTGGACCAAAATACTCCTCACAACCTTTACCATTGCCGGACCGCCGCCTGCCGTCTGCCGCCGGACCTCCGGCCACCGTCGGAAAATTCCAATTTTTTTTCCAAGCAGCCTGCCAGATTTTTTCCGCCAGATTTCTTCCGCCAGAGCTGCTGGTGCCGCCGCCCACCGCCAGAGTTCACAACCGCCGCCGAGCTGCCACCACCATCGCACTGTCCGTTACCAACAGACTGCCTTGGTTGTGCAAGAGAACTAGGGAGCAATTAATTTTTTTTTTTAATTAATTAATTCATTTTCATCATTTGCAACGGAGCCAAAGATTCACTATTTTTTTTGGCATGAGAATAAGATGGAATAAATTAAAATGACTCACTAAACTGTCTGCACTTCTTTGTTATGAAGTAGCAGTCAGTCAATGCAATTTTGGACACGATTTCAACTATGGGTCATCAGGAAACTTTTTCTCTGTGCTTAAGTATAGGGGTAAGACTGCGTAAATCCGATCCCCTTACCCCACCATAGGTTGGAGCCTTTGCAGCACTGGGGTAATGATGATGATGAATTAATTAATTCAAGTGGGGGTAAAAATGAAAAAGAAATTGTCCTATATAGGACTAAAACATAGAAAAAGTTCTTAAATAGGAGTTCCAATGTTTTATTCTCTAGAAAGGAGTTTATGTTACCCAAATACCCCTGATTTAATTAAACCGAGATCCGTTCTCTCGCTCGAGCTCACATCTCCTTTTCCCTTCTAGATCTGCGGATCTCCGTTCTTCTTCGTACGGCATGACGCTCTCTAGGTTGTCTCAGGTAATTTCATTCTCTTTCTTCTCCATTTTCTCATTCTTCTCCTTCTCATCTTCTTCCCCTGATTTCATTCTTAGTCTGCCGAGCGACTCTCCTCCTACGGTTCGAAATCGGCAAATGCTTGATAAGAGTGAAGCGAGAAAGTGGAATCCATCCCACTTGTGCTATTTTGATTTTATTTTTTTGCATTTTTGTATTTTGCAATTTCTTCAATTTTTATTCTGAATTTCTTTCTTATTGATTTGATAGATTCTGTAAAATCCGAAGCTTATTATTGATGTCTAGTTTGATATTTTATATTGAATACTCGTTAAATTTTTTTAATTTGGATTTGTTTATTTCTATTGAGTTTTGAGTTTTAAAGTGGATTATTAATATTTTATTTATCTGTAAATACAGTGAACTAAAAATATCATTTTTTGGCATTACTTTTACTAAGATGGACATATTGCTCTTACAATGACATGTGTGAGAATGTGGAAGTGTTTTTTTGTCAAATAGTGTCAATTTCATGACATTAATTTTGTCCATTAAAAAATGTCAATAAAAGATTAAAAAAATGGCAATATTACTCTTATCATACCATTAAAAAGGTTTTTTGCCAAATAGTGCCATTTTGCAATGTATAATTTTGTCCATTAAATATGGCAATAAAACATTAAAATTGCATTATTAATGTAAAGATGCCATTTTTTTTAAATGTAAAGATGCCATTATTATTGATTTTTTATATTTTATCAAGCTGCCATTAAGCCAACAGTCCCATTAGGCTAGAGGTTGTGGCCCCATCGTCGGAGTAAATTAACAGAGAGATTTGTCATCGGAGGGGGGTCGGCGGCTGCTGTTGAGACTGCTGTTGAGACGTCGGAGGGCGGTTGAGTTGGCTGAGATGCCGAAGGGCGGCGTCGGTGATTGAGACACTGGAGGGTAGCAGCTGAGATGCCGAAGGGTGGGGCAGGGGTTGAGATGCCGGAGCGTGGCGACAGGGGCTGAGATGTCGGAGGGCGGCGGCGGCGGTTGAGAGGTCAGAGGACGTCGGCTGAGACATTGAAGGGCGGCAGAGGCGCTAAAGGGGGCTGCTTGGTGGCTGTGGAGTGTGGAGTGTGGTCGTACCTGCTAGGGTTTTTGAAACAATTTTTATTCCATTTTTTCATTAAGGCTATTTTGGTTAAGCCACACGCTTTTTACTCCTATGAAACATTAAACTCCCATTTTCGAACTTTCTCAATGTTTCGTTCCTATTCACAGAATTATCTCAAAATGAAATGATTAGTCCTATTTAGAGAAAACCAAACATTAAATCCTATTTTGGGAAAAAGCACGTGTTTCTGTCTTAGACATAAAATTGGATAAACTCGTTATGGTTCCTTTTTTAGTCATTTTTAAAATAAATCAGACCGGTGCAACCGTGCAGTCCTGGGTGCCAGGTTTGATTTTTTAGCAGCCGGGACCTGGTGCAGTTCCAGCTCTCCCTGCTCCCAACATTATCCGTTGTTATCAGGAAGCAAAAAGGCAAAACCATAATCTTTCCCAAACACTAAAGTGTCTCAAAAACGGTTAGTGGGCTAGCAAGTAGCAACTGAAAAATCCTTGATGTAAAAAACAGTAATCTAAACCATTGTTTAAAAAGGGCCACACTGGTCAGCAAAAACATGAGCTGTCATAAAAGTAACTGAAGTTCAAGTTATCAGCTCTATCTAGCCTGTTACATTGGTTAACTGAGCATTCTCAGCCTTCAAAGCATGTCGGAGTCGCTTCTTCCTGGAATCCTTCCTGAAGGAACTCAATTCCCTGCGATAAAACAAGGGTTGACTGCGGCATGCTTCTTGAGGGCTTTGATTTTACCCAGACTTGATTTTTTCAAGAAAACATCACAGAAAGCTTGGACAAATGGCGCAAAGGAAATGGCATCCTCCTTGGCCTTTTTAACTTCCCTACGCTCTGCCTCAGTAAGAGCTTTTGCTTCATAAGTGGCACTATACATGTGGTATTTCCAAGGATCACTCAAGATCTTTTCAGCAACTCTGGACAAGTTAGCGTAATCAAAATAAGTGTATTTCTTGACCTCATCCAAGTAGCCAAAAGATATAATTTTTTTTAAGACAGCATGCGCTGAAGTGATGACCGCTTGACCGCACGGAGAGACGTTAACACGGGTTCTGAAGGCAGATGGTATTCTCTGGTTACCAGGATCAGCTCTTAGCACTTGCATTGGTCTTTTCACACCAATCCAGCGAAAAGCATGATAGAATAAGATGTCTTCAAGAAAATAGCTTAAGATGTTACCCATTTGGGAAGACACGGCGAATTGTTTAGCCTTTGCACTGAAATCAGCAGCAGTATCAGCACAATAATGTGATCCATGTGATCGAAAATAGAACTCAATCATAAAAGGAAAAAAAGAGGAGAGTTGCCACGCCTGCTCGTCTAAACCTTTCATCGCCTCCCCGTCCGTAATGAATGTCTTTTTGCAGTCAGGTGGAGCAACAACATACTTAGTGTGGCTCTGGGAGTCAAACCAACCGGCTTTGAACATCGAGACCCTAAGAACAGCCCATTTTATAGCCTCATTTTCATCATTCTTATACTTGATGTATTGAGCCTTAGCTAAAGCATAGATAGCAGCAATCAAATCATCAACGTCTTTCGTAAAGAATTCGATACCTTTTCCAACATTCTGAATAGGACATTCAAGAATAACCATACGAGCAGGCAAAATCATATAAAAATCCCGACTTACTTCAGGATCGTAGAAAAACAGATCTTCGAGCTCGCGAATAAAATCCAAAGCATTGAGCATGTCTTCCTTGATATAGGGATGAGGGATTGGCTTATTAGAGTCTCGGATATTGCCCTCAGAGTCAATGAAATCGTTGGGATCAACCAATAGCAGTAGCTTGCTAATCTTACCTAGCTTTATGTCATCATCATCATCATCAGGTTTTCTGTCAAACTCATCCAAAACCCATTCATGGCTCCTTTTCCCAGACGTCTGAGCATCCGGTTGTTGATCACTCATGTTCTTCTAAGCTTCTAGCTAGATGGTTTTGCAGAAGTTATCGAGAAGATGATTCACCTACGGAGGTTCTAGGACAGCTTGTGAAGAACTTAAATCATTTGTACAAACATATTTATACAAGTGGAACTCAGAAGTGTGCAGGAAATGTGAGAACGGTTTGGACGAACAGATTATTACATGAGTGAAAATGAAAATATTAAATTTAGGCGGCGTAATGATTTCTTATTCCATGTTTCCATGCCTTGTATTGTTACAATGTAGAAAACTGTGTAACAAACCTATTTAATACCTTGGACGTTTTATCTTCTCAAGAAACAGAACTATGGAAGGTATAAGCTCCAAGGACGGCTCATAAGAAAATGAAAAGGCATTTTATGATTCTCTCTAGAGTTTTTGTTAGTGGCGGTTGTCCCTCAACTATAAGAAAATGGAACTTGGCTTTGAAATTAGGAAAATTCCAAAGAATATGACTAGTTATGTTTCTCTCGATATATGACCAAAAATCGAGAGAGAAAAAGAATTTTCGTTATATTAAATTGTGGAAGGAAGAAAATACCTTTTTTTAAAAGATGCATTTTACACTACTTTCGTCCGAGTAAAAATAATGCACTTTATGAAGGCGTTATTGCACGACATTTACTGCACTTTATGCATGTTGTGTTCATGGCATGACATATAATGCACTTCATGCACTTAAGTTATGACACTTCAGTTTATCATTTTTTTTAGTTTTGATAACTTTAGCTTTTACGTTTAATTAAATATAATGCACTCCATGCGAGATTTATGGCACAACATTACAAAAATGTTAGGATTTTATATATTTTTCATTTTAGATTTGATAATTGCATTTTATGCCAATGTTAATGCGCTACATTATTGCACTTCTTGTCATAATCACATTATTATGACATATCATTACACTTCGTGTACAATCACTGCACTTCTTGTATTATTCACGGCATTGAATACAAATTACTCACTACACACGATCTCCAATTGTCTTCAACCTAGGGTTCATCTTCGACCTTAGGTTCACCTTCGACCTCGGGCCACCTTGGTTGAGGAATCTGAGATGTTGGAGCGACGGTCCAACGCCATTCTTTGGGAACATTAATTATCAACCCTAATTTCAAGAAATACAAAAAGACAAAAGGAGAAGGAGGCGACAATGCGGTGGGCCAGCGACGACGAGCGTAGGTTGTACGGCTAGCGACTAGATGACAGACAACACATCAACGTCGCGCGGCGCCTTGCCATCCAGGTCGAGCTGATGACTGCGCTAGCAATCCACGTTGCTTCTGCGTCGGTGATTGTGCTCCCACGTCGGAGTTCTGTGCAAGGCGGCAACGCTGGACGGTGGGTGGCGACTAGACAGCGGTTGGCGGTTGGGTGGAGGGGCGGGTGCGTGGGTGAGCGTTGGGAGGTTGTAGCTAGGGTTGTAGAATAGGAATAAGAGTTTAGGGTTTTATAGGTATAAGCTAAAGGGTGTTTTGTCCATAAAAATTATTTATTAATTATTAAAATTATGAATTTTAATTAATCATTATGAATTTTAATATTATTTTTGGAAAATACTAGTTAGGTCATATATTAGGAAAGTGGGGAAATTTTAGTCATACATAGGATAATTATTTCTTGAAATTATGTGACACTTTTAGTCAACCTATTTGAAAATCCCTATCAAAACAATACATTTAGAACATCACAATTATCAATACTAACCTCATTATATTATACGGAGTATACCTATTAAAATATATTAAGAAAGAATCATGCATGGTCATATTTTGGGAATTGTCACCAGTTTTACTCATATATAAGTATTTTTGCCAATTAAAAACCCATTGTGAAAAAGCTACTCAAACATATATTTCATTTTTGGCTTTTTTATGTCAAACAATCAAATGAAAAAGTAGTTTACCAAACACTAAGAACCAAAGTCAAAAGAACCAAAGTAAAAAGTTGTTTGATAAAGTAAAATAACCAAAGTCAATTCAAAAGGCCAAAAAATGGCTGATAGGCTGTTTACTACAATAAAAAAAACCAAGAAAATAACAGAAACATCTCCAACTATTGGCCAAGCAGAAAAAGAGTCGGATCTCAGTTCAAAGCTCATATCAGCCTTTTCATACTCCTCTCGATATTTCTTCATATAAATTCCCTTGCATTATGAAAGCAGCGTTTCCGCAATTTGATTGCATGAATTTCGAGAAGGTTCCCTGGATTTTACAAACGAGGCGTTTAAAGAAGAAGCTTGTCAGACACTGGTTGGCATCAATTTAGTTTGTTTTTTGAAGATCTCTGAAGAGGCTTTGCCACAGGTCTTGCTGGTGCAGCACCTCTCATAACCCTCTTGATGTCATACTTCACAGACAGGAATGAACAAACCAAGGCTACCAACATTGTTGGATAAACATACACCGCTTTTCCAGGATTAGGGTTTGCTTGTTTGTTAAGGATGCCTTCCTTTATTAGGCCCCAAATGACAAGTAGTGTTCCAAACATGCTCATCCTTCCAGACTTTATGATGCCAATGAGAGCACCTGCTACAGAGAAATAGCTTCCGGCAAGAACCTATGTGACATGACAACAAGAGATATCAATTTGCGGGTGGACAACCAACATAAAAAAAAAAGTGACACGGTGTGTTGTAAATTTGATTAAAATGCCAAGTAGGAGCAATGAAATTACAGATGCCTTTGAAATTGGCTTAGAAAGAATCTCCATGAAATTTGTATCTTACTCATAAGAGATTTTTTAACCTCTGTTAGGCAACAAACCATTCTCTTACATGTGGCCCGAGGAAAAGAAGGCAAGATTGATTTATTCTGATTTAAGCTCAGTCAATTGTAGTATCAAAACGATGTTTCTACTCTCTCCCCTTCCCCCCTTCTTTGTTTTATATTAGAAGCCTCTGGATGAAGGTTACAATGTTTGTCCTCTAAAAGCACATAAACCCACACACCAGTGCGAGCATGTTAGGGATCGTCCAATTAGACTACTAAATAGAATAATAGCTATTAGTTAAAATTCTGTTGTAGCTAATAACTAAAGTCAGTTGAGCTGGACTACTATAAATAGAATAAGGCTGGGTGAGGAGAGGAGGCTGTTTAGACGTAGTCTTGGGACTTGGGAAGATTGAGATTCTGTCTCTCTCTTTGGGGGGCTTGGGCTCATTTGGGACTCTGTATACGATATTACCTCTGTGAATAAAACTTTCAGATTCTGTGATTGAGTGTGTTTAATCTTCTGTAATTCATTCTGTATTTCGAAGTTCTTAACATTGGTATCAGAGCACGTTTGATCGCTGGATGACCATAACACGTGCGAAGATGGAAGGAAGGATGACAGAAATGGAACAGAGTCAACAGGAGATACAATCTAATATGGAGAGGAATCAGCGTGAAATGGAGAGGAATCAGCGTGAATTGCACGCAATGATGTCAGCGATGCAGGCTAGCATCGCCGATATGCAGAGAAGAATTCCCGATCGATCGCGAAGTCAATCGCATCAATCGAATACCTCGCATCAATCGTCTCACCAACGTCGTGCGAAACGTAATGAGAGTTCGGAAGATTCAGAGACTCATTCTGATCCTGATGCAACTCATGTGGACCACGATCATCGCAGGAATTACAGACATCGGCCAACCGCAGGGAGGAAAATTGGTTTACCGATCTTCAATGGAGACGATGCCTTTGGTTGGTTAATAAGGATGAACCGTTACTAAACTGAACAATACGGAGGAAGAAGATAAAATTGAATTGGCTGTGTTAGCGATGGAAGACCAGGCCTTAAGTTGGTTCCAATGGTGGGAGGGACAGGCTCAACACATGAATTGGGATTCGTCTACCAGAGATTTGACTAAATGCTTCCAATCGGAGTTAGTACAAGATCCATTGGGACCGTTATTCAGTCTGAAGCAGAAAGGAACTATAAAAGAGCACAGAGATAAGTTTGAGACTGCCATTGCTTCTCAAGGCCATTTAACTGAAGAAGTATTGAAAGGAGTATTTCTAAAAGGTCTCAAGCGCGACATCAGGGCGGAATTAAAGCTATATCGTACTAGGACCTTAGCTGAGGTCATGGATACAGCTTCTCTTATTGAAAATAAGAACAATGAAGCCATGATCAAGAGGAATAAAGATGAAGGCAAGAAGAGGTGGCAAGGAAAAGCAGGGAATGAAGATCATCATCCAAATTGGGGAGATAGCAGTAGATGGAGGAGTAATCCTAATACTACTACAAGTTCGGGCAAGATCATCAATGAAAGTAAGCCAATTGACAAGAAGATGGAGGAATCAGCCAATTCTGTTCAAAGGAAGATAAGTTCCAGATTAACACAAAATGAACTGCAGGAGATGAGTAGGAAGGGGTTATGTTTCAAATGTGGGGAAAATTGGAACCGAGGTCATATATGCAAAATGAAACACTACAAATTTGTTCTTGTGGAGGATTCTGAAGGAAAAGAAGAGTCTGAATCTGTCAGGAAGGATACAAAGGAGGAAAAGGGGATTGAAATGGAATTCAAAACTATGGAATTGTCTTCAATGAGTAAAGAAGGGATTCCAAGCATGAAAACCTGCAAAATGAAAGGAGTAGTGAAGTGGGAATCCGGAGAACTGAAGGTTGAAGTCCTTATTGATAATGGTGCAACCCATAACTTCATTTCCCAAGAGTTAGTGAGAAATTGGGAGTTACCATACCATACGACTAAAGTATATTCTGTACAGATTGGTAATGGAGATAAAATCACAAACAGTGGCAGATGTGAAGGACTGAAACTGGAACTACAGGGGCTGAAAATACAACAACCTTTCTACATTCTAGAATGGGGGGGAACAGATATTGTGTTAGGCATGGAATGGCTAACAAGCTTGGGAGATACAGAGATTAACTTCCAAAACCAGACCATTAGATGGGAGGTAAATGGGCAGAAGGTGATTATACGAGGAGATCCTTCAGTAAGTCAACTGGGAACTAATAAGGAGATGAAGAGCCTGGTAAATAAGAATGAGGAAGGGAATCTGCGGAACTATCATGGGTTATCTACTGATAGTGAAGAAGGAAGAGTAGGGAGCATTGTGAGAACCAATTTTTGGGATGCTACTATCCAGACTACTATAATTGATGGCTCCAAAGAATTTGAAGGAATAAAATTCTTGGATAAAATGCCCTGACATATGGGTAAATTTGCTGTGAAATGTATACGGAAGAAGATGGAAGTAGCAAAGCAAAAGGGCCAGAAATCAATCAAGTATTGGAAAGGGAGAGGTGCTAGGATGAAGGAAAAACAGAAGATTTTGGCTGTTTCCTATCAACCACCTTGAGGGCAAGGTGGATGTTTAGGGGGGAGTATTGTTAGGGATCGTCCAATTAGACTACTAAATAGAATAATAGCTATTAGTTAAAATTCTGTTGTAGCTAATAACTAAAGTCAGTTGAGATGGACTACCATAAATAGAATAAGGCTGGGTGAGGAGAGGAGGCTGTTTAGACGTAGTCTTGGGACTTGGGAAGATTGAGATTCTGTCTCTCTCTTTGGGGGGCTTCGGCTCATTTGGGACTCTGTATACGATATACCTGTGAATAAAACTTTCAGTTTCTGTGATTGAGTGTGTTTAATCTTCTGTAATTCATTCTGTCTTTCGAAATTCTTAACAGAGCACATGGAGAAACATATTAAAATTATATTGCTCTAGGTTCTAAAATTGAGGATTACCGATGTGCAACAATTTATAAAAATCCAAATTTAACAAGCAAGGATGCTAAGTCAATATTCCGCATATGAGATTATTGATTAATAAAGTCTGTCAATTTACTTTGTGGGTTAACATTCAATGGTATATAATTCGAGAGTATCATTTCATCATAATACAACTAGCTGCATGTGGAACAAATTAGTACTAGATTAGATATAAGCAAGATGGTATTCAAATTTGCATTAATGTGGAATGTAGAGTTTAGACTGACATAAAGTAAGAAGATTGAGGAAATAAAACTAGAAGAGGTGGTAAGGACTTCAAAGGAAAACCTCCATGCGCTGTAGGTCTGTTACTGGGGAAGCCTCCTTTATGTTATTCAGATTGTACATGTTTAGCAAATTGTCCCAACTAGGAACAGTCATATTCTTGATTAAGCTATTTATGATTGCCCCAGGGTAGAGGAGGGCCTTCACAATTGGAACGGGAAATATGTCACTTGCAATCAACTGGGAAGATGTGACATGCATTGGTGTTGAACACATACCAGATCTACATGGAACCCTGAAAAGTATATACGAAAAATAAAAAGAATCAGCGGAAATAAGTAAATCAAATGTGAAAACACATAGCACCTACTTCTGTACTAGAATACAAACATTACAAAATTGATGCTTATCGTAATATTGCAAGGCCTTGGATAGAAGTCTGAAGGCATAATGTGGCTCAGCAGCCTACCCATTGTTACGAAGGACACATCACTTGAAGTAAGAAAGTTATAAATGGCAAATGCTTTTGCGTAGAAACATTCAACTTTAGCACCCAGATATGCATCTAGTTATTAAGGTTAGTTCTCTTCAATAGACCGCCACCAAATCCAGTCTTACACAGTTCAAGCCTAATGGATGATTATCTTGAATAAGGATTAAGGACTAGGGATACATTCAGCTTATGTCTAAGTGTAGCTAAGCTAGATATACCACACTGATGAGAAACCTTGACCTAATCCTCATGTATGTAGCTTCCAACAAACACATTTTCATTAGTACATGGCTTGTAATTGACGAAAGCAGCGCCATTCTATATTTGACAGGAACATAATTTTTACATGGAAGTCGGGAAACTGTTTCAAATGAAGCGTTAGCGTAGATCATTGCCCCTCCACCCTCACTCCACACTTTTTAAGTGTAAACTTGCATTCTTACTATCAACTTCTCTATATATCACATAAAGCTCCCACTTTGGTACCAAAAATTAAGGGCTTTGAGTAAGAACAAAAACATAATCCCATCATTCCATGTATATACATAATAGGGGCCCATTCATGGGACTGGTTTACCACTGCAGACGATCTGAGTATGGGCTGGCCAAAAAGGCTAGTTGTGCTGATCGGCTGATTAAGTTTGTTTAACTAAGCCATTATTAGTCATTACTGTTCTTAGTATGATACTATGATTAGTCATTTTATTATTAAAGTTCAATTTCTTTGGAACTCTTTCCTTTTAGCTTTGGGATATTTTTGCTATGGCCTTGTTTGGAAAATAGCTTATCAGCCAATTTTTGGCTTCTTTGACTATAATTAATGATATTGACCATTGAAGCAGTCAAAATTACTGTTTGGTGAATGGATTGTTGGATCAGCTTATTATACCCAATCAGCTAAAATTGGACACTCTGGGGTGGGGAGCATTTACAATCGGCTTCTCCATTTTCTTCCCTTGTGCCCTCACTTAAATATATCCGTTTTCTCTCTCTCTCTTTGTGCATCCCCTTTATGGAGTATGGACAGCTATATACGGAGTATATTGGAAGAGCCACCTGAGAGAGATATATCTGTTTATGTCAGCTATGTAGTCTTATTTATTTATTGATCCACTTAATAAGTTACTCTAATACTCTGGAAGCATTCAATATTGAATATTTGGTTTGCTATGAATCCTTTTGCATTTACAATTTATTATATTTTTATTAAAAATTAGTATGTCAATTATTTTATGAGAAACACTTTGACACTTTTTCATCTTTATTGGTACTAGTGCTATTCTGTAATTTGAATTCATGTTATTCAAATCAAATTATCAAAATAAATCTTTTATCTATTTATTGTATTTGCCATATACAGTTGTACTACACATTTATCAATTTTAAAACTTCTAAAATACAAATGGTTGATACTATGTAAGTAATTGTAGTTAACATTGTTTTTATAAGTAATAGTGAAAAAAATAAATATTAATGTCGTTATTCATCTTTTTACACTCGAACAACTATTCTTAAACAACTAATCAACTAAACAACGATCGTCAATAAGCTAACATAATCAGCCAACCAAAACAGCTAACATAATCAGCCAACCAAAACAGCTAACACAACCAACTATTACCAAATCGCTATGATAACCAGCTAACAACCGATTGCCAAACAAGACCTATATAAGGCCTATTAGCTGGACAAATAAAGTTATCTTTTTGGAAGTTAATTTTTTTGCCTGCGACGTAGAACCAGCGAATACCTTCATTGCCTAGAGCATGAGGTTGGTTAACTACAAAAAGCACCACAGCCGAGTTTCCTACCCTTCTGGCCAGTTCTATTCGTCCCTGGATACGTTAACAGTCAACCAATCTGCTCAATAACCCTTCAGTCTTAAACACTGATTGTTTAATCTACACCATGTTTCTACCCACTTGATGCAACTTAACCTGTTAATGAGTCAAGTATGCCGGCCCCTTCAAATGAAATCAATTTTCCGTTTTCACACAAAGTACAAATGCTTGTCATCTAAAGCATACCACTAGACAAACTAAAATCTTGAACTATCAATTGATTTCTACATCCACCATAATTTACACAAGCTCTAAAAAGAACCAGAATTCATAAAGCTCCATATCATTAACAACATTGACTAGGAAACACCTACTGAAAGCTTGAATAATACCTGTAAACAATCCTTGCTAAATTATTTTTCGAGCTATTTTTTTCTTTTCCTGCTATACTACCTTAATGTTTAAATTAAAATGACAACTTAATTCAGCAAAACAGAACTTAACCGGACTTTGAATACATGATACACACCGATAGAGTCGAAATGGAGAACAAATAGCGGATCCCAAGGCAGATAGTGGCATCTAAACCTGTTTCTAGTTTTGTGTATACCTGAAAAGTGGTATCTGAAGGATGATGAGAAAAAAATAGATGCGAGATGCGTAGGCTGAAAGTTTGTTCCATCGGATTTTTGATGAAGACGGCAACACTGTAGAGCTCACAGTGGCCATTTCGAATTCAGACGGTTCACCTCGGCGGTCAGAGACGGGCGACAACCGGCGGCAGGTTGAATTTCCGAAGAGGGAAGCCGAACTTGGCCAAATTCTTTGATACGCATCCAATCCAACTGCCTCTATTTGTTTAACAACAAAAATTAGCCAAATTAGGCAAGCAATGTGCCAGTTTTTCTAAATATGAGATCGATATTGATAAAAAAAATACCAAGTATAGGAATGCACATTTCCTTTTAATAATATTTTTTTCAGAATTTAAATTACTCCCACCCCTCTGTCCCTTGTAACTTTTCCAATTTTTCTTTTTTGGTTGTCCCCAAAACTTGTAGCACATGTTTTATAGTATGAGAATGCACATTTCCTTTCCCTTTTCCCAAAAATAGTATAGGAAAGCACATTTCCTTTCCCTTTTAATCAACCAATTTGTGGCTCATGTTATTTCTCTCTTCTCTGCACAAATCTCTACCATACAATTTTTATTTTATTATTCTACGTGTCATTCAAAGTTAACAAACCTTTGAGGAACGGAGGGAGTATATCACTACATTCAACCAAATGTTATCATGGGCTTTTAAAGAACTTTATTACCCATTTTTATTTGAATTTTGAAAAAAAGTGGCCCTCTCCCCTAGCTAGGTTTAGGGTTCGTAATCTCCGCTTTTGTCTTCGATGAAGTGCGGCTCAGACAGGTAGAAGGAAAGCGACAGGTTTCCGAGGCTGTTCGGTCGAGTAGGTGGGTTGATTTTCCGAGCGCCATTCTCGTGCGGCTTTCTTTTTTAGCAACCCCGCAACGCCTATATGGTGGAGATCGAGAACAAGATCAGGGCTGGCAGGTCGCGACTGGATGGGGATAAGTTAGACCCGATGCAAGATAGTTTGGAAAAGTTGATTGGGCAGTGTGACAGTTGGGAGATCAGAACTGAGGATGACGAATTGGTGCTCGATGAGGAGGACACTGCGGACCGCATTGAGCATTCATTTCCGGGGCTCGTCCCCCTCCCGAACCGCCGCCATGGAATGTAAAAGGGTAAAGAGTTTGGAACAAGATGAGTGAACTCTCTTTTAATTCCGTTTTATTTTGTCTGTGTTTTTCTTTCGAATTGCAAATCGTTTGGGTGTGTTCTTATTTCCTAGCAGGAAGATTCTAGATTTTAAGGTAGGTTTGACTGTCATTTGCTCAGTTAAGCTCATTACAGGATCAACGAATGTTATTACTTCTACGAAAGTGATAAATTCTAAGTCTGGTTCGAGAGCGGACATCACACGTAAGACTTTTTGTCGTTTTGTTTCCTGCTTTATCCCTGATTATATTTACAACCAAATGTCAAACGTTTTGTTAATTTAATATAATTGTTGGTTTTACAATAAAAAAATACTTTTTCCAGATATTATTGTATTTATAACCTAACTCAGCCAATAATTAATTACCGCGTAAAATTTATATTATAATGCTAATTTCCAAAACATGAATTTAGTTTAAGCTATGTTTGAAATTGTTTTATGAAAGTACTTTTCAGCTTTTTCAATTGAAAAAAATAAAAATGATTTTGTAAACATCAACTTTTGCTTAATTTCCCGCACTTTTAATCCAAAAACTCAAAATATGAAGGAGGTGCTCTTAAAAGTTTTTTTTTTTGTAATTAGCTCCAAATCCAAAGAAAATAATAAGAACAACAAATTCATCAATATCCCAAATTACACAAGACAATATATCATGTATGCACTGCATGGTTTTTTTGAAAAGAACATTTTTATACTATTTTTAAATGTTTTCACAAATCATTTTTTATCAAACAGTTCAACTTATCTTTTAATCAAAATCACTTCTATTTATCAACACTATTTACTTTTTCTGTAAATCAGTTGTTCAAAGAATCTCTTAAAAATGACTTTCAAAAAACACTAGATAAGAATAATGGAGCTGATGGTTGGAAATATAAAAAATCATTTGAACTCGTTATTAGCTCGGAATCAATTTGCTCATTTCATTATTACTATCTCCTCTCCGTTCTTAAATATGAGTCCTCTTAGGCTTTGACACTGTTTTCAAGAGAAAAATAATAGGGGTAGTGTAAAAGGTGTAGTGGGTTGTAGGTAAATGAAAAAGTAGGAAAGAGAAAGAAGTAATCGTAATAAAAATGAGACTATAAAGATATTTTGATTGAAAAAATTTACCAAAAAAAGATAGATGGATAAATAATTAAAAATGGTCCAAAAAGATTGCTATACGATTAATAAAGAACAAATGAAATTTTAGATGAGGATGGAAAATTGAAGTAGAAAGTTGGCTATGGCTGCTTCAACATCTCTGCACATTTCCATCACGCTCAGGTGTTCCCATAACAACGGCTTCTCAGTGTACCAGCCCGGTAGCAGAACCAACCTCTTTTTCCCTCGTCACCGTTCTTCTTCTGTTCTCACCTTCTCTCGCAGGCGAAGCGACCACCACGGCCTTGCTGCCACTCCATCGAATAAGAAGAAACAAAAGGCAAGAGAAAAGCCATTCTTCAGTATATCATCTACAACTATCTTCTTTGGTCTTTCATTTTATTGGACGAAAGAAAATTTAATCTTTAATTGTTTGATTATCTAGAGATAGGGTGTGTGTGTGTTTGTACTCGTAATTCTCTGTAGAAAACACCAGTTTAGCATCTATCACATGAAGCTTATCTTTATTAGATGACAGCATACCACTAAAACATAAAGTTTTATTCATCTGTATTATTTTGGGATTAGATTGATTTCATAGCGCGACATAATGTCACAATGGTTTATGAGCTGATTGAAGTTGTTTAAGAAGTTTTTTTTGTACAACCATGTTAAGATGGATATAAGTTTTCATTAAAGTTGCATATCTTTAGGGTTTTTTGGTTGAGTTTCTTCAGAATGAATTTGAACTAGTCAAGTATTATTCCAATGAAGGCTGGAAATCCCTGACCCTTTATGTGTGTCATGTTTTGTTTCGTTACATCGAGTGAAAGACCATTTGATATGGTGATACCTGATCTCTGAACCATGGAATTAATATTGTATTTTATATTATTGTTGTTATTATTATTAATATTATTATTATTATCATTATTATTATTGTTATCATTATTATAATTATACCTACATGGTTGCTGATAGAAATACTTGCAAACTTCATGCTTGAGTTTTGTTTTATGCAGCAAAGTTTGGCTCAGAGACACAAGACAGATGATGATTTAGATGAAGATGCTTTTGAGGCGCTTTTTCTTCAGCTTGAAGAAGATTTGGAAAATGATGATCTTTCTATGGATGATGGTGATAGTGAAATAACAGAGGATGACCTTGCAAATCTCGAATGTGAATTGGAAGAGGCTCTAAAAGGTGATAACCTATCAGGAGACGTTGAATCAATTCTGGATGAGGAAAATCAGGAAATAAAACATGAAGTTGATCTGAGACTTGAAGAGGGAGAAGGAGAAGAAGAAGAAGAAGAAGAAGAAGAAGATAATGATGATGACAATGAGGTAGCAGCATCAGTAAAAGGTGATGAAGATGATATATACGAAAGCCCAGTACAATTGAAAAACTGGCAACTCAAGAGACTGGCTTATGCACTAAAAAGTGGTCGACGTAAGACAAGTGTAAGATTCTATTGGACCAGTCTAATTAGATGTTCCTTATCGAGTGAAGAAAAACATGTGGGTGTCCCTTATTACTTTGCCTCCTCAGTACGGAGTATAAAAAAGTGGGAACCCATATTTAAAGTGTCTGTGTTTCATATGGGTTTCTACCCTTATTCACCAATTTTAATACGTTAGTTCTTCATTATTTATGAAGAACTACATAATATATAGGAGTCTCAAATTAAATTTTGCCTACAATAACAATAACTAACCTTTAATCCCAACTTAATGCGTTCAGCTACATGAACCAGTAGAAAAATTGCTCAGGTGATTCACTAAAATGCCAATTTTCCATTCTTTGATGACAATGCATACTGCACTCATATCTCAACCATGGGGGCGTGGCTCATGCGTTTGAGCAGTGAGGTGTAAACCCACATTATTAGAGTTTGGATCTCCCTGAGTACGTGATGTGTGTTAAACTTGTATGGTTAGTTTATGGGAATGGCTACTCCTGTTGTGTTAGCTCACAACCTTTGGGTCCTTGTGCTTGTGAATTATCCCATCCCTCAACTTTTAGATATATACTAATATCTGAATTTTTGTTTAGGTTTTTATTTAGAGAGGTAGAATATTTTAGAGAGGTAGAACATGTGATTAATAGTACAAATTGAGTATCCATTAGGACTGAGATACGTGAGCTGAATAGATTGTGCCCTGCATCAGATTAGTCTTTAAATAGAAGATAAAAGTGAGGTTTTATTAAGAATGAACACTTCTGGCTATTACGTAGCTCGATATCTTGAAAACCCAAAAGAGCCAAATTATAAGCCTGTTTAGCAGAGTTATAGAAGTGGGAAAAGATAATTTAGAGGGATAGTGAGAACATGCAATATTAGATTTCCCAACTTGACCAATAGCATGTACAAGGGCATGAATTTGCCTATGAACATGGTGAAGAGAAGCCTGGAGATGTTGCATGTGATTAATAGTACGAACCAGAGCTGCAGATTGCTTCCAAGCAATAGTGAAAGAGATGCATTAGAACAGCAAGCCAGGAGCAGAGAATCAGTTTCGACTTGAAGATTGACACAGTCCTAGTGAACAAGCATTCCAGAGCAATGCACAAGGCGTCAGCCTCAGCACAGAGTGCTGAGGTGGGGAACAAAATGGTTCTGAAAAAGCACCATTGACTAGACCCTTGCAACTCGACTCACACAGATTATAATGCTCATTATAATCTGTTTCCCTATTGCAGAATAAATAAATGGAAGCAAGGTGGAAGCCAAGTTTCCTTAATTGACCTGGAAAACCAAGATAGCCACTGAATAGCTCCACATGAAGTTAGCTACCTGTTTTGACATACTTCATCTCCAGACACATCAAAAGGATGACAGCTAAGAAGTCTTAGATCCTAATAGAGCATCATATGATGAAGATAGAGTGAAGCAACCAGCATTTAATGGAACTCATATCAAACACTGCTGATCATTTGAAGCTATCAATTCCTTTGATGCCACATGAATAGAGAGAATTCTTCTCATTATTGAAAAGTCAATTGGGCACCTACCGCACCTCCTCATAGTGGAAAACTCTAGAATATATTATCTGCTTGTCATAAAGGCAGAAGGGCTGTTTCCCTTCTTGATCTCCGAAGAAGTATTTTTTTCTCCAAACGGCAAATGACATTGAGTTTAGTTGCTGATAGGACATGTCCACTTAGATTTAGCTTACCAACAGCATCAAGAAACTTCTTCTGGTATTTCGCAAGTATGTTATCTAAAGAATTATCAATCTCTTTGTAGTAGCATATTATTTATTTCTTCTAAATAGATTCACTAATAAATACCTGCCAGTGCGTAATCCTTCTTGTATGAGCTTTTGAGCTAGTCACAAAGAAGCTCTTCTCCATGTCAGCTTGCTGGCCATTACATTGCTGATAAGAAATTTATGGTAGTGGTGGAGGGAGGATCTGCCACTGGTAAAGTAATTGTTCCATGAGCAAAGGCCATGCTAGTAATGAAATCTACTATTAACAAAGAAAAGGCACCATTGACGTTCAGATAATGGAAGATAAGGGGTCTCCCTGCTTGGCTCCTCTTGATAACTAAAAAAGATCCAAGAAACATTTTTATGAGACTTTAATGGTAACTTTAATATTGGTGTAACAAGTTTTGTGCCTCATCAAAATATCAGTTTGATTAGATCTTATGAGCATCCATCGTTTCATTTTGTTAGTATTGACTATTGACTATATATTTTATGATTGGGTGAAGTTGTTGTATTGCAATGTGATACTAAATTGCAGTTTGTGATATGTTGCATTTTGTTTTAAACATCATTTTTACCATAAAAGTGTGCGTGCATATTTTCACACTTTCGTCTATTTTATTTATTATTCCAAAGGTTTAATTCTCCATTGCCTAACTAACTCTCTACATGCAGATAAAAAATCTTGCAGCTGATCTCTGTCTCGACAGAGCTGTTGTTCTCAAATTACTCCGGGATCCTCCACCGCATCTCCTAATGCTGAGTGCTACTTTACCTGATAAACCTATTCCAATAATCTCTGAACCCCCGAGCATCTCTCTGGAGAAAACAGAAGACATTGCAAAAGAAGAGACTACCGAGGAATTGCCAGTTCACGTTATGCAACAGAACTTGTCTGCTAAAAAGAAAATTAAGAAAAAGCAACTTGGAACTCTTGAACAAGTTTATGGACGATCTAAGAGACCCACTGTGAGTAATGCTATTTCTGCATATGTCCTAATAATCAAGTATGCAGTATAATGTTTCGCTAAATGGATGGTGCTCCTGTATAATTTGAACCCTTAGGCCTTAGGTTCTGCGTGGATGGAGGGGAAGTCTTTGGAGGGATCGGTCTACATCTTGGTAAACGGAATGTTTTTGAAAATGAATAATTGGGATCAAAATAATGTGTTATCATTAATTATGTAATTCCTTCAATTTAAAAAAAAACATCACATATACTTTAACCTCCAAATGCTTCCCCTCAAAATCCTCCAAAAACCACTCCCAAACTGACCCATGATCATTTGCAAGAAATATGATGTGCAGACTAACGGAGTCATTTTATTGAAGTTCTGATCTGATAAAGTACATTATAACATTAGAATGTAGGGGACTGTGCTTTGCATGGCTAAATACTGCGGTGGTACAATTAGCATCGTATCATCTTATCTTCATATCCATATAATTGACCTATCAGACTACTCTGATCTCTTTATGTTAGTTACTTAGTTTATATTAATAGTTCAGAGAACTCTTATATCGATAGCCAGTCTATGAAGGTAGTATTAATGTATTATGCGAGTGTTTGGAATTGATTCTGCTTCTTTTTTAAAATCAGAAGCACAATTAAAATCAGCTTTTGAGAAGCTCGTATTCCCCAACTTCTAAAAATCTGCTTCTATGAGCAATTTGGAGCAACCAAAAGTATTTCTGCACTATCAGACAAACACTCCAATATCTGCTTCTACTCCTTGAAAGAGCAAAAACATATTATGCCTTTTATTTTACCTTGACATAATGATATTTCCATTTATAACGATTAAAGAAAAATGCAGAATGCCATGATTAGCAGCATTGTGCATGTCACGAATCTTCCACGCAAAAGAGTTGTGAAGTGGTTTGAAGAAAGGCGTGCGGAAGAGGGGGTTCCTGATCGTCCTTGTCAACAGCTTCCTTACCAGCGTTCTACTCTTAACACTCCCATCCCTTGACGGTAGGACAATCAGTTTTGTATGTACCCTGGCAAAAAAATTACTTTTCCCCTTATACATGTTAATTTAATTATTGGAAGCAACATTAGTCCGTTTTTAATTATTCCTATCAACATAACGACTTGGACTAAATTAATAAAGTTGACAAAAAACAAATCAAATGAGACCATACAAGTTCATACCCGATCTGATCATACTAATTAAGAATTCTTGTTTTATGTGCACAACGTAATTAATGACCAATACAATTTAATGACCAATAATAATTGTGATATGAAAAGTAGTATTCCAGTATTCCACTCGTCTCTTAAAAGTGGGTTTGCATGGAATTAGAAAATAAAGATGGTAAAGAGAGGAACCCTAGCGGTCGTCTCTTCTCTTTGTAGGGGTTTGTAGGAGTTGAGATTTTCCGTCGTTCCTATCAATATGGGGTTGGAGCGGTAGATTATACTGATTGTAAGTGTTCTAACGTTTGAGGTTGCAACTAAGTCGGAGGAGATAGCGTTGGCGGATGAACGAGGTGTGGTTGAGAGGTTGTATCGAGGCGGGATCGTGAAGCCTTGGTGGGTCATTCCGACGGTGGTGGAGTTGGTATTGACCAATATCGTAAGAGCTCGTCCTCCTCCGGAACCACCTCCATACCAGGTTGAACTTTTTGGAAAGATTTTATTTCAGTATTATTTTCTCTTTAACACTTGTTTGTGTTGTAGTTCGAGTAGATTTGGTTTGAATGTTTGGATTTTTGGAGCTTTTGATAGGCAAGGTTTCAGTTTCGATTGTTTTAGGCCTAAATTTGCCCGTTTCAGGTTTAACTAGTCTTGTTGCTTTGTATGAGGTAGCTGACTCTAGTCTATTCCTAGAGTTCACGATTCAATCTATAAATTCTGTCTTGTATGTGCTCTCAATTTTAATACGACGGCCGCTCTTTTATGATCAAAAAAGAAAATAAAGATCATGTGATAGAAGGTTGTGAATAAGAGGGATAAATAACATAAATCACAATTGGTTACTTTAATAGCAATGAGCAGAGTTTGTTGAACTGAAGGAGAAATGAGCTCAAGTAGTCTTCAACATATTTTGGTGGAGGATCGAATCGGGACCACATTTCAATTTGTAAACTATATCTACACTTATACTCAGATGTAAAGGTTGTTTTTTGTCCGTGAATTTAGATCACACATGAAATAAAAACGTTTGTATCTATGAAAATTTTCAAAGGCAAAAACATGTCTGCTTTGCTGGTGAACAAGATTCACTTACAAAAAAAATAGCCTCTCACAAGGATGAATATAAGTGTGGACATAATGGAGTTGGTACAAACAACACTTTTCTAAAGATTAACCCTAGGCTAGAAATCCGAGAATGAGTTTTTGTGATGTTTAGCTAGATTTTGGTAATAAAGTTTAAAATAGGAAATTAAATAAGACCTTATTTTAGGAATATTACTAAATAAAAGTTGAAAGACAAAAAAGTGATCACATTTTAAAAATCCCAAAAATATGACTAGCATGCAGTGACTAATGTATTTTTCATTACAATGATTTGCAATTTTAGTGACTGGAACTAGACCACCAAATAGTGACCACTCGTGCATTGAATGCCGCTGCCGTCCAGTCTAGTGACTGTCGTCGTGTTGCCCTGTTCAGTGACTGCCGCTGTCCTGGTCACTGACTGCCACTGCCCTAATGAGTGACCGCCGCCGTCGGCCTCGATCAGTGAGTGCCCCCGCCCCCGGCAAGTGACTGTTGCCACCCTCGGCTAGTGAATGTCGCCGCTCCCTCCGGTCATAGTGACACACCGACCCTAGTCATATTGACACCTCCATAGTGACCTGCCAGGCTGCCGCCACAGGTCACCACCAACCATCGGACCTCACACGTCCACCTCCACCGGCGACCACCATTTCCCACCACCACATGTAACCTGCCGTTGTGCCTCTTCAGAGGCCAGCCACCCCCTGCTGCACCACTCAGCCTCGCACATCCAACAACCGACCACCAACAACCGTCACCATCCTAAAATGTGACCCCACAAGCCCCTCCCCAAACCCCAAGCTTCCAGCCCTTGTAAAGTCACTGCCCAACATGCCCCATCTCTGCAACCACCGCATTCCACCACGCCGCCACCCTTGACCGCCGCACATTTGCTCTTGTAATTCACCCCATCACGACCCTAACCGCCAATATCATATCTAAAGCCCAAATCCAGCCATCTCTATCGCTATCGCTGAGGTGGAGCTCCAAATCCGTCGTCTCCAAAGTCATCTTCGTCATCGCAGCCACACCTTCGTCTCTGTAGTGTCATCGTCTAAATCGAAGCCTCTTTGCCTGGTCGTGTGGCGGATGGTGGAGGCCAGGATTTGTGAGAAGAAATAGAAGGCACAACTTTCTCGGGATATTGAGACAAATAGATTTGTCGATTGGTGAACGAAGAAGAAAGAAGGCGCAGAGAGAATGACGAGAAGAGAAAAGCGCAGAGAGAATGGTGAGAAGAAAAAAGGCGCGGAGAGAAGAAAGGTGCAAAGAAAGGCGTAAGAGGATAAGGTCACATTTTTGTCCACATAAATAATAGTCATATATTTGTCTTTCTAAAGCCTATAAGTAATGTTTTTGCCATTCTTTCATTAAATAATTGTTTATGTCAAGCATATTGTGGTTTAATATTATTAAGGTTCGATATTATTAATGTGAGTCTCTTAAAGAGGTCTTAGTTTCGAGTCATAAACCAATTCAAGAAGTTAGGAAAATTCTACTGTACCTCTATTATTTTAGCATGTACGGTACATCTGTTGAGTTGGACATATAACAATGTTACACGTAGATGTTTTACACTGTTCGTATATTAACCCATCCGGAGATAATTGCTGGACTAAAATGCAAATAAAAGAAAGAATGAAATGAATATAACTCCTGCGCTTTTAAGAGACATAAATGTGACAAAAAATTGATTGGACAAAAAGTGAGCAGTGCACGTTCCTCTTCTCCAACTCTCCCCTGCGCATAGTCTTCTCTTCTCCTCTTCTCCTGTGCGATCTTCTGCCTCCCATTCACTATGTCGCCACAATGGTTGCAATCTCTTTGCCACGCCGCACTTCCCTTTGCATCGCCTCGCTGGCCACTCACTTAGCATTGTTGCGCCTTGGCGTAACCTCGCATCAGATCCGGGGGAGGGCGGCGGCTAGGGTTCAACGGCGAGTGGTCGGAGCTGGGCTATTGGAGGTGGGGCTGGGAAGGGGTGCATCGGGGTTAGGTCATTCGGAGCTGTAGCTAGATCTGGGGGAGTGGGATGGGGCTAAGCCAGGGAAGAGGATCACAGGAGTGGGGCTGGGGAGGTGTTGATTGGGGATGGAACTAGGGGAGTGGTCTGTGGGCGGGACAAGGGACGTGGCTCGTGATGCTGCCCGCCGGAGAGGGGCGGTGGCGGGTTACTTGCGGTGGGAAGTGCAAGTGGCCGGTAGTGGGTGGAGGGCGGAGGTCATGTGAAGGTATAAAAGCAGTGGGAACAGGGGGCTGGGCCAGGGGAGTTGGGGCGTGGGGACAGGCTGAGTGGCGTGTGGGGGTTGGGATGACGGCTGAACGGCCGCGGTGCTGGCTACAGCGATTTCAGTGCTAAAAACGGTCATAGTGACATGTTTTTCTGTGATAGTGAGTCAGTGACATTCAAAAGTGACATACAAATTTGGTAGTGACATAGTGACATAAAAATTTGACAGTGACATAAAAATTTTGCACTGACATCAAGTTTTTCCAAAAATATGACCTCCTTAGTCACTTTTTTGTCCTTTTATAAAAGTGATCACATTTTTAGAAATTTACTTTAATTTAGTACTACCTCTGCCCCTTAAAACTTTGCCAAAGTTGACCAACACGGAGAATAATAAAGTAAAAACTGTGTGGTTGAGGTTTGTGCAGAGGAGAGAAATAACAGAAACCACAAAACAATTGATTAAAAGGGAAAGTGGCAAAGTTTTTTGGAACGTCCCAAAAAGGAAAGATGACAAAGTTTTAAGGGACGGAAGGAGTAATACTCAAGGAAAAAGTCATACTCCCTCCGTCCCTTAAAGGTTTGCCATGTTTGACCGGCACGTAGAATAATAAAGTAAAAACTGTGTGGTAGAATTTTGTGCAGAGGAGAGAGAAATAACAGGAGCCACAAATTGATTGATGAAAAGAGAAAGTGACAAAGTTTTTGGGACAACCAAAAAAGGAAAGTTGACAAAGTTATAAGGGACGGATGGAGTACAATTTTTTTTAGAGAGAAGAGGAATGACATTTAGCAATGGTTCAAAAAGGAAAGTAATGAAAAGATAAAAGGGGATGGGGTAATGGAGAGTACATTCTAAGAGTCTACTGACTTTGATGGAATAATGTTGACTTTTGCATATTTGATATGGTTCTAGAAAAAACATTTCAGTCAAATTCTTGAGTTAGACTATTGTAGCCCTATTCATAAACGTGAATATACCTAGTGTCTTTTCTGAATCCTAATACACAAAAAACACCACCTCTTTTATTACATAATAGTAGGAGTGGACCTGATCTGATCCGGTCTGAAACCGGGCCCATTACTATTAGGGATTGGGTCCGTTTTTCGTTCTCGAATCAAGGTTGGGTACCCGATCGCAAAAAAGGGTACCTGATCTCGGGTTCCAATATTTGGGATCGAACCGGGCATCTCTGATCCCTAACTAACTATTTTTTTAGCTTGGATTGGGTGGGATTGGGACTGGACCGACTGAGTTTCAGGAATTGGCCCAGACCCAAAAAACAGTAGGTCTAGCCCGGCCCTCATCAACATATTTCTAGGACTGGACGGTCTCGGCCCGGAACCTGGTCCAGATCGACCTGGGTTCACCCCTACGTAATAGTATTTGTCTATCGTTTTTCACTTTATTGAATATAGTCTATAGTTTTTTATCAAGTCCATTTTACAAATAGCAATGAAAACTATTAGGGGTGTTTTTACTTGGATTGGTTTCAGTCTCAGATCAGACCAGAATTAAACAAACCAGATTAGACTAGACTTAAATAGATCATATCAGATTAGACTTGACTTTCATAGTTATAAAATACATAGAGACCAGACTAGACCAATTTAGACCAGACTTAAATAGACCAGATCAAACCAACAAATTACAGTCCAAGTAAAAACATCCTAGGTAAACATGTAAAAATAAAATAAAAATAATTGAAAGAATTGTCTTCCTAGATTTTATATGTCAAATATTGTTATTACTTTCTAGGATCAAATCTTATCATAAAATTTTAGTGAAATCGATATCACCATTGTACTCGCAATTACAGATTTTACTAAAATAATTTTTACACGAGAAGGTCATAACAAAAATTTCAATGTGTTAAATCACAATTTAGTTGCTAAGTTTTTATGTTGATTCATTTATGTAATTCTTAATATTATGTGATTAAGATGGGGTTAAAACAAGAATATTACTAAAAACGTACAAAAAAGTGAAATTTTCTTTTAATTTCAAAAAATGAGACTCAAAATGAGTATGGGGACTATTATAATTTATACCCTTGTTAGGTCCACCTGAGCCATTCAGTGAACAACATTACAATGATTAGTTACCTGACACAACCCATCACTTACGGTAACCCAACCTGTCAGTTACAGTTATCCAATCGGTCAGTTACAATTACCAGACACGCCAGTTACACTTACCAGATCCACCGGTTACAGTTACCAAACCCGCCTGTTACAGTTACCAACTCGCTAGCTACAGTTACCAATTTGACCAGTTATGCTACTAAATAGCATATGAGAAAAGTCTGTGACAAGGGGTATGTTGTGACGTAGCGCCGACCACCATCGGAGGAAAAAAAATCTTTTGAAAAAACTCTAAAAAATTATCGTGTCAAACATACGACTAAGGGTATGTTTGACACAATTAGCTCAAGAGGTATTTTTGTTAGCCTTTTAGTAACTGTTAACTTTTAGTGCTAAAATGATCTTAAAATGAAAAAAGGTTGCACCTATTTGGTAAAAACCGATGATTTGATTCAGTTCTGTTTTGTATAACAAACTGATGTGACTAAGTAATGCTAAAAACAACAGACTGTCTCCTAGATGCTACATATTATAGCTCCTCAAAAAATATCTTTTGTTTTGAAAAAAAAATCTAAAAATTGCCACGCCGAACATAGAGCTAGAAGTTTATAGAGATTTTTTATATAGTACACAAGCTAGGAGGTAGAAGCTTATGGGGGTGTTTGGCAATCGGCCATTAACTGTTGGCTGATTCTGTTGGCTGATTCTGTTGGTTGTTTTTATTAGCTGGTAGGTAGTATTAGCTATTTATAAAATAGAGTTCGGTTAGACTGTTGTTTAGAACAAGATGATAACTCGTTAAATTACTTTTAAAGACATCAATTAATTCGTAAATGACTCTTTATTGTCAATCAAACCCCTGTTTTTTCTTTATATTTAGACAACAAGAATAAATACCTTTTAGTTCATCGGGCAGGGCTGGTTCTGGGGGGGGGGGGGGGGGGGGGGGGGGGAGCAAGAGGGGCGACCGCCCTAGGTCCGAAAAAAATATAAGAAAAAATAGGCCCATATTTTTTTCTTTATATATAGTGTGAGTAGACTTCTTTTTTTATTCTTAAGTTCAACTAATTAGGCCTAATGATTAATTTTGTTGACAATTTGAACATTTAAAACATAAATAAAAATTCTTAAGCAGAGACAAGTTTAAAACAGAATATATACATTAATTTTTAGAAGGATTGGTTGTAGTTTTTAAAAGCAATACAATTGTTGCTGCATAAATAAAAGACACGTCTCTCCAGTCCTCACATCTTTTTAGCTTTTAAGATTTTTTATTCAATTTAATTATAACATAACAAATTATATAATTATTTTAGAGCGTTTTTCTCCAAAATTTCACCCCAATTATTCATTTGTTTCCAAATTTCAATAAGATATATCTGTGTTCCAAATTTCAACACCCTAAACGAGTAAACGCTAGCTTTATTTGCTTTTTGTTTGGAATAAAAAGCCAAATGAAAATGACAATTAACCAAACACTCCTATTAGTTGTTTATTTGGTTAGAAAGTCAAATAATTGTTAAATTAGTCAAAAAATGACTGATACGCTCTTAAACAAACACCCCCAGCCATAACAACCAAACCTGTACTAAAAACTCTTGGAAACTTTTTGATAATACAAAAGGTAAAAGGTAAAGATTTATGTGCCGAACATGGACTTTATTTCGAGATACAGTTATGCATTAATCTGCCGGTATATATTGATCATTAATTATACGGAGTAATAATTATATTCAACTAATTATTTTCACTATTGATAATAAATACCACTGGATCAGCCGAGCCGGGCCTGTCCATGATTCATAAACTGACTCATTTGCTTCTGAAGCAAACTGGTAGCTTCGGAATGTGGGTGAAAGAAGTAGAAGACATGCCCTTCCCCCTCTGCCTCCGCCATCTCCACCCACTTCACCCCCTTCCGCCGCAAATACTCTGCGTACATCACTCCCCTCTCTTTCAAGAAATCTAATCCGGCCACGAACACCACCGTCGCCGGAAAGCACAACCACTCAGCGGTGGATAACTCCGCTGCCGCCGCATCATTTTCTGTCTCAAAGTTGCAGCCGTAGAAGTCCCGGGTAGAGCCCTCCGGCAAGCTTAGCTCCCAAAACATGTCGTTCATCGCCACGTTATCGGCTGATCCTTCCGCCATCTCCAGCTCTGTTCTCTTATCGCTGCCGAAATACGGATGGATAGGCATAATCCCTTTAATTATGAGACCATAGTTTTTTATTGAGCGCAGATATCTTAAAGTCACCTGCAAAATTGAGGGAAGAGTTTTCTTAAATAGCATCATTTAAAATAGCTCGTTTCATGACGAAATAGGTAACTTTTAATTTACCATGCTGAATTATGCGATAAGGTTGCAGTTATTTTTCTGATTATATCCATCGAATTTAATGTAGATTACCATTTCAGTTATTTTTTCACGTAGTATAATTTTTATTTATTTTATTAATAAAATATATTTTAAATTTATTCTTTCATTTTTTTGGAAGATAAATTATTCTTTCATAAATAAGCAAAATATGCAAATACAGTCACTTCAGCCATAACTTCATAAATTTCAACAGAATCTGTCGATTTGAAGTAGTCAAAGCAATGTTCTAAAAGGCGCTAGGCGGACGCCTAGACGGGGACATAGAAATTGCATTTTTATGTGCATAAAATACACATATACAAACATTAACAAACATGAATGATAGAATTATCACATTTAATCATACGTAGTATGTAGTACTCCCTCCGTCCCAAAAAAGTTGACCAAAATTCATTTTTTGCATGTCTCAAAAAGATTTGTCTAAAATTAATTCTCTCCCCTCTGCACAAATTTTAACTACACAGATTTTACTTTATTAATCCACGTGAAAGTCAACTTTGGCCAAACTTTTCGAGACGGAGGGAGTATATGATAACTAATCCTTCATTATGTTATAAATATAAATAATAATAATAAAATTTTGGTATAATCCAAACATATATAGTTTTTATCATAATTTACAACTTCATTTATTTATATCCGTGGCTAAATTCAAAGTACGTATATCACTTAGAAAATTAAACTTTTTTAAAAAAGTAATGTTCGATGAATCTAGACGGCCTAGACGGCCAATTAGGCGCTCTGGGCGGGCAACTAGACGCCATAGATAGCCAACTAATTCACCTAAATAGCAAACCAATTAGTCAGAGCGGCGAGATGAAAATCGAGGCACCCGGCCACTGCCTAGCGCCTAGGCAGGGACTAGTCTAACGCCTAGAACAATTTTTGAACAGAGGGTCAAAGTTGCGGTCACTACAATTGCGGTTATCATGTAAACTAATTTTACATTCCCGCAAAATAAAAATACTTCAACCATCTTATTTTGGTTGTCGTACTTTCTATTTTGGGTTGTCATAAATGAATGTCGAATTTCTTTTTTTGACAAGAAATATATAGTCAATATCATTTCATTTTATTATAATCAAATCTCAATTACAACTTTTACTTTTCAATTACTTTATAAACAATGTGTCAATCTAAAACAAGACATGCAATATGAGGAGATAATAAAGTTAGCATTGCTCTCTTGTTGTGGCCCAATGTGGCCTAGCTCTATTGTGATCGGGATGCAATTATATTAGGGTTTTAGTTGTGAATTCTAAAGGCAATACACTATAAAGTGATTCGGTTATATTGAGTATCGCAACCGCAATATGAAAACTAGTTAAAGGATAGAACAAAGTAGTTGAGGAAGCAGTTCAGCTCAGCTGGTCTGATCTCCGACTCACTCTCTTATATGGGAGGTTTCAAGTTCGAAACTCCATGAAAAGAATTTCAGCTCTATTTATCTTAGAGTAAAAAAGGATAGACAAAAGTAGCAACGGTAGAAAGGTGAAATGAATGTAAGAGATAAAGTTAGAAATAATAGAGTAATTTTCCATTAGGTATATAAGACATTTTATTTTAATATTGATGAGTTGATTTTTTTTAGTGGTAAACAAACGGAGTATATGTTGTGAACAAATAAAGTTCAATTTTGACAAGCAATATCTTATGGAACACTAGTCAGGACCGTCTAATGAATTTGGGGGGTCCCGGTTCCAAATGTAAAATCGATGCCCCATATTAATATAAAATATTTAAAAAAATCAATCAAAATACTTATACTCAAATCAATTGAATACTCATTAAATAATCTAATAATAAAATTTCTAAAACTTAGTTAATACTTGATTTGAAGCAACACAACTCATTATTCAAACAATTTGAGTAAAAGAGAACTAAAAGGATGAACGAAAAAATGATGGATCTATAAACTATTTTTCTTTCTTGCTAACTATATTTTACTGATTGTCACATAACTTTGAAGTTTAAAGCTTCTCTCTAGGGTTATCACCCGGTAATGCCTAGCGTTCGTCTTCCGCCGCCGGTGATACCATGAGCCTCTTATCCGCTGCTGGTAAGCCGTTTGGAGAGCGGGACTGTTTTTATGAGTTTTATTTGAAACTTCGTTTCGTTTCTTGTGCGTGCGATCTTCTCTGGCAATCTCGACGGAAGGGCCTCGAAGCCACGGATCTCCATCTTCAACGAATTACACGAACCAGTTGGAGGGGAAAGCGACAAGCGATAGTCCCGAGAGGAAGCAAAGAAGGAGGGGCTGTGCATGGAAGATGTTGTTGATAAGTATAGAAAAATGGAACTTGAGGAAGAGGAGGAGGATTTGGATTTTGACGGCACATAGTCAGAGGAACCGCCGGTGGAAGGAAGACGAACACTATCAAAGACCGCAAGTCTTCCGGTGATAGGAGTCCTGTTGACGACCGCAAGGTCAGATTTTCAGCTATCAAAGAGCTTATGGCTTCGCTATGGAGGCTGGGCAATGGTCTCTCGTTCAAAGAAGTCAGGGAAAAAGGTGTTTGTTTACTTTCTATCATCGTGTGGATATGAATAGTGTTCTTGAGGGAGGACCTTGACAATTTGAACGAAATCTATTGTTATTGAAAGAAGTTAGACCTGATGACATTTCTCATAAAATTGTTTTGAATGAGGGTATGGAGAGGGTAATAGGTCTGAGGACAAGTTGGGGGTGGAAGAAGAGAGTCAGCTACAGATTTTGAGCAGAGTAGAGCAAAGGGAGTTGGGGATCCGGATGAGAGCAAGGATGAAACAGCGGGGGAACAGAAGAGAAGGAGGCTATGGGAGAAATAGGGGGAAGGGCGGGATGGAAAAGATAACATGGCTCTGGATGAAACAAAAAATGGGGAGGAGGCGGACTTCGATCAGTAAGTCCGCCTACATGGATTCAGAAGCAGAAGAATGAGATTTGGGTGCTTGTGCAGATCGGCATGCTCGGACCCCAGGTCAAGTTTATTAGTTTTATTTTTATATTTCCTGATATGTCTTTTTATTTTGTGTTTTGTTTTGTTTTTTTGGATTCATTGATGTAAGACGATTGATTTGGATATGGGGATGAGAGAATTGGGGTAACCGTCTTTGGCTCTTTTGTGCCTATTAATGGACCAACGAGTTATTTTGCTTATTTTGAGGTGATTAACTCTGAATCTGGTTCGCGGGACGACGATTGTCAGGATTCTGTTTGTCGGATTACCCATTATCTAAAAGTTGAGATATAAATATAAGCTTATTTCTTCCAAAAAAAAACTATATTTTACCGATTAATATTAATATATAATATTATTATACTTCGTATAAACTAAAAAAAAATTAAATATCTGGGACCCCATAAAATCGAAGGGTCTAGTTCTGGATAGCTTATTGAAGCCTCTAAAAAACGACCCTAACACTGTAATATTTTCATAGAAGTTTTTGAGAAGTTATGTTCAATCTCTAGTAGACATGAAAAACTTGGTCGAGTTTTTATTGTATGTATCACGATGCTTTAAATTAATTAAATTGTGCACCTGGTGTACAATATTTCCACCGGCGCTATCGCCGGAAAGAAATACGCGGGAAAGGTCTGAGCAATCCAGGAAAGTCTCGGCTTTCTGATTCTTCTGGACCCACTCCAAAGCTGAATAGCAATCGTCGTAAGCAATCGGAAGCTTATTTTCCGGCGCCAGCCGGTAGTCTACAGACACGACGATTGATTTGGATTGAACAGAGAGGCCGCCGAGGAACATATGGTAGCCCTGCCACGAGGTGGAGCCGGTGCAAAATCCGCCGCCGTGGAAGTAGAAAAGCACGGGAAGTAACTTGATTCCATCTGGTTCCGGCCTGAGATCGGGCACATAAATTCTTCCGGTAATCGGTTTTGACCGGTCGATTATGACGTCTTTTGACTTGAAGCCATCTGTTGAATCCGCCGAATTGCCGGCGATCTCCTGGGAGAAGCGTTTTACAGTCCCATCGGAGAAGACTTGCATGTACCCCGGCACTTCATGAATGATAGACATTTTAGAGATTTGAATTTGATTTGGTCTGTGAACGAAATAAATATCTCAATAAATAGGCAAGAGGTAAGTTGGTGGTTGGTTGATCATGCAAGCTAAACAAGATAAGCTTACAAATTACAGAGGTGAGCGCGGTCCGGGACGGTCCGGGATTTGGCTTATCCTGATCCCGATCCCGATCCCGATCCAGTTATATATATAATAACACTTCGATACGATTCAGAATAAGTCTTTATCCCAATGTTGTCCCATCTAAAATAGGACCAGGACAACCCAAGAAAAACTGGGACGGTTTGGGACGTCCCATAAAATATACATTTGTGAAATGTGATATAAAAATAAGCATACATAACATCAAAATAAAGTTGTAACTATTTTTTGCAAATTTAGCTTCTCCAAAAAGTTAAGTAAAACCTCTAATTAACTATTTTTAATTATTGTCTTGTCATTTTTTTGGTCCCTCATAGTCTTGTGTTTCAATACCACATTAAATTAAATATCATATCTATAAAGACTATATATATATATATATATATATATATATATATATATATATATATATATATATATATATATATATATATATATATATATATATATATATATTCTAGTAGTTATTTTGGAAAATATTAAATGTATAACAACACTATATTTTGGAGTAGTAGTTATTCCATCGTAAATAATATTCCGCACGTAATAATATGTTATAGAGTAGCATCGGAATGAAAACAAAACAAATTTTAATCAAAAGAAACAAAAAAACGAGACTAAGAGAGACACGAAATAAGATAAAATTACACTAGGGAGACTAAGGGCTAGAAAGTTTTAATTGGGTTTGACTATTACATACGGAGTAGTATTAGAAGCGGGACACCGGGACGGGACATGATATTTTATAGCTATCTCGGTCCTGTCCCGGTTAATATCGGTACGGGACCGGTTCTGGATGAAAAAACCTAAATGGATCGGGATAGTTTTAGAACGGTATCGGGATTTTTCGGTTTGGGACACCGGGACCGGGATTTTTGCCCACCCCTATTCGAAATATTGCATTTTCACACCTTGTTATGTTTATTTTTTGGATGGAATTCTAAGCATGTGTTACATGATAAATGTCAATATTTTTAATTGGAATGAGACTCAAACGTGTAACTTTGTGTTTAAGAGTCACACTAGTATCATCATACCACAAAGTATTTTATGCATTTTTACACATTTGATCACAGAAAAATACGTAATTGTCGTTCCGTGTATGTGTGGTTTAATATTTCGTTCAATTAGCTTGTGCCTAAGAGTTAACAAGTCACTATCATCCTAAGAATGTGTAGAATATTTATCAATAAAATTAAGTTTTATTTCAAAAATATTACTAAAATAAATCTTATTTACAAAAACATGATTAAGAGTTACTACAATGTAGTGTTATGGTAACTTAAATTTAAAAATGGGAGAAGGGCCAAAAATGACACCAACGTTTTTAATGAATTTCGAATAGGACACTGAGGTTAAAAGTAGACCAAAACAACATTGCGCATAAGAAGACCCCCAAAATCATCCCCAACAACCCTAGTTATGCAGACATCTGTGTAGAGGAAAGCTATAGCAATGGGAGATAGGTCTTCACCATCAAGGTCCGCAGCGCTACAGAAATCATCACCCATTGATTCAGTCCAGTGTGGAACGAATATTGAGACGCAATACGGTGGGGGCGTGAGGTTTTGTAAATGTAGGAGGCGAACTGAAATCCCTGTGAAAGCTCGACTTTGGACTTCATGGACTGATAAGAATCCAGGGAGACGGTTTTATGGTTGCCCGCACTATGAGGTATTATAAACTTTAAAATTGTGTCATTTATCCCATTTTGATAATTTTTGTTTTATGGTAGATTTATGGGATGATTTATTAATGTCTACAGAATGATGGTTGTGGGTTCTTTGAATGGCATGATGAACCTCTGACAAATAGGGCCAAGCATGTTATCAATGATCTCAAAATGGAGAATAGAAGACTTGTGAGTACAATAATGGGACTGGAGGAGGCCATACGTGCAGGGGAGGCCATAATTGCAGGTGGGGAGTTTGAAGAAACACCAATTCCAGAATATGATCATACCTCTAAACAAAACCTGGAATTTCAAGAGCTGAACCATACAGAGGTTGCAGACTAGTTGGAATTGGATAGAGGAGCAAAATTGAAGATGAATTATGTGTTTGTATTGATGATGTGTGCCCTTGTTGTACTAATATGTATGAATTTAGTTTGATCATGTAAAAAGTGTGCCCTTGATCATGTGTGCCCTTGTTTAACATATGAATTGGTATTTTGAATGACTTGTTAGAACAGTAGCTTCATTTGGGTGTTTTATGTGTCTTATACATTGATAATGTAAGTGTTTAGTGGCAAGGAATGTGTAACAAAACTTCAGGTCAATAGGAGAATTCTTCTGGCAAAAAATGCAGGTGTATTGGTGTTTTTGAGGTCTTATACCAAACCTAGGTTGCCAAATTAATTGCAGGTGTTGTTTAGGCCAAATTGAGGTCATGTATTTAGGTCTTTTTTTAGTTCTTAAACCACACCTGTAAGCCAGCCACCAACTATGTAGTTACAGACCAATTACAAAGCATACACATGATAATCACATGAAATATATATGCAAGGTAATCACATGAAATATATAAGAAGTCAGATAATTACTTGGCATCATTAAATGTACGAGTTGTTAAAGAGGTTACCAAAATTGACACAAGTACAAAAGTTTATGCTGTCACCTACTATATCCAAAAACTGACAGCTATAATAACATCTAAGTGGCCAATTTTTTTTAAAATGCAACATTGAAGTCTTCCTTCAACTTTCATGTCTTCCCCTGCTAAGCAATTAAAGTGGTGGTTCACCAACATCACCATGGCCAACAAATTCCATCCTCACAGCAGATCCCTTCCTCTTTTGCCTGTTGTTTAACAATTGTGTTGTGCTGGTTGCTTTTTTTCCCTTCCATTGCAAACCAGGTGGTTGAAACGGTAGGTTGGTAGGTTTTTTGACTTCAGCCCCATCACCTTTGAAACTTATTGTTCTACATGCAGGCACATGAGTTTCTTTTTGAAGTCTGCCAGCACTTCTAATTTCCTCAGGGTCATGTGCCACCTCATGATTGAATTGAGAAACTAATTGTTCACTATCCATCCCAGGCTGCATCAAAAACACATCAACATTGTTCATATTGACACTATAATATTAGAAAGTTTATGAAACTAATTGGAAGAAGAGTTAGATTAAATAACACTATATGAAATTCACATTTATAGTCTTTGAACCAGTGTTGACATCAACATAGCACCCAAAACCTGTGAGAGGTTGTTTACCTTTAGACCTGGCCATTCTTCTACATGCAAGTTTGGACTTACCCTTTCGGTTTTCTGCAATTTCTTCTTCAGCTGCTGGTCTATTCCTTTGATTCACGGAACCCTGTGTAGTAACAGTTGCAGGAGTATTTCCTTCCCTTGATCCATTTGTTGCCTAATAACAACATCAAAATATATCAATATCTATCATATTAACTCCTCATTCATTAATCATAATAGCAATCCTATGTATACTGCAAAAGCCAATTTCAAATTACAGGATGTGTACTAATAGTATTAGGAGTAGCCTCTTCCCTTGATTCATTTGTTACCTAATAATAACATAGATAAAATGAACATGTATCATAATCAACCATCATAAATATAAAACACACATAAATGGTATAACCAGTCTTATGCATAATGAAATACTAAAGTATAACTTACAAGTATGTCTTTATTAGGACATTTTGCTCTCTTATGCCCCCTCAAGATGACATATCCCACAGGTTAGGATTTGTCCTTTTCTAGAGGCTCTATAGGATGATGTACTGTCAACTGCTTTTGAACCACTTCCGGGGCTTTTGACCTCATTTGAGCCTCTAACTCTGTTCTTCTTTGGTCTGCCAGGTAAGTTAGGAATTGGGGGAGGTAGAATAGGTTCATAGTCATCTACTTTCATGAAAGCCTTCCCGGGGACATGTTGCAAAGGGTACTGATAAGGTGTCATGCATGTTTCTTTATGGTACCACCTAGATATGTATGAAAGGGCATCTTCCTTCTTATAATATAATGCACACATGGCATGTAAGCAAGGAATGCCAGTCAATTTCCAAGCTCTGCAAGTGCATATCAATTTATCTAACATCACAGTGTGTTTGTCTTCACCCTCTCCAATTTCAAAGCCCACATCACCATTAAAAATGATATTGCATCCTGTGGCAGACTCTGTATTTGCTTGATAATATGCCATCCATGCAGGTGTGAGACCAATCATTTATCCATTTCTCATGATTGTCCTTAAAATCAGAAATCCTTTTCATTGCCTTCAAGCGTATATCTTCCAACATGCTCACAATGGGTTTTGCCCTAGCTTCTCTAATCCATGCATTAAATGATTCTGTGATGTTATTATCCACCATCCAGCATTTGCTTTGGCTACTAAAGTATGCCCGGCACCAAGTTTTAATAGGGTATTTCAAAACATCAGAAGTAGCTTCTTTATTTAGTTTTCCCAGCCTTTTTAAGTTCAGTTCCAACTCTTCTTCATATGTGCTCCAAGCACATATTCAGAATTTTTTGCAAAACTCATCACCTCTCCACTTTTTTGACCAATTTGCATAAACATGGCGAGCACAGAACCTATGCTCTGCATCTGGTATGACTTCCTGAACTGCAATGATTAAGCCCTTTTGCATATCTGAAATACGGGTTAAATCAACACCATTTTTTAGATCTAGTTCTTGAACAAGCCAGACCAAAAATCACCTCCAATTGGACTTGTTCTCTTTGTCAGTTACATCCCATGCTATAGGAACCATTTGGCCATCTCCATCCACCCCAACTGCACTCAGCAACATCCCCTTGCACACACCCTTTAAAAAACATCCATCCACGCCTTTGATCCTTCTACAACCAGCCAACCAGTTCTGCCTCAAAGCTACCAAACAAATGAACATTCTTTTAAACACTCATTTTCCTTCTTTCATTGCAGCACTGAATAACTCTATTTCAGCTTTGGAACCAGGATTACTTCTCTTTAAAGTGGCAGCATACGCTTCAAGATACCCAAACTCAGCCTTATAGCTTCCATCCATCTCTTGAATAATCAACCTCTTGGCTCTTTTACATTTGTACAAGCTCACATTGATCTTCAATTTTTTTCTAGTCTCCTCCTTCATAGCTCTAACAGTGAAGCTAGGATCTTTTTGTATGTGAGCTTTGAAATACTTTGCTAACCACTTCTGGCTAGCACTTGGAATAGAATAATGCCTAAAACATTTGTATTCAGGATTGCATATCCTCACTGCAAGACCACGATTCTTCCCATCCTTAGATATCCACAACCTAAACGAACAACCTTCCTCATTAAGACACTTCACTGCCAACCGGTTCTTCTCATTCGGTTTGATCTTCAGCTTGTACCCATATTTGACTCCATAATTAGCTATTGCACTGCGAGCCTCTTTCACATCTTCAAAAGTCATTCCATTCTGGAAAGTACCTGATCCATCATTCACAACATAATTCTGTATGGGCTCATCATCTGAGGAGTCCTCAGATTGGTTGCTCTCCTCCTCCTCCTCCTCTTCATGCCCTCCATTACAGTCTTCATCACTTTGATATCCATTTGAGACACCACTGGTGCTCACTTTAGTTTGGTCTCTAACATGTACATTACCACCATCAAATCCTGTCCCATTTTGGCTTTCACCATTGTGGTCTGTCACAGTAGCCCCTTCTAGTAGAGGAATTAGAAGAGGTTAGAGGTTCATCCAGTTCATGATCAACATACAGTTCAATATCATCAATCCATGAGAAGTTTCTAATACGATTAAGCACCTTCCTTATTGTGTCATCATCTTGAACTAAAAACAACCCATTTTCCATGTTTTCCAGGTTCTAACACATACATGTTTTTTAGAGTTTTAAAACTCAAATCATTCTTATACTTCCGGGCTATGTCATGATAACACAAATAGTCAGGGTCAAATCTTTATACACATCCCCATTCACGTACTGTAAAGGCTTCAACACCCACCTCCCACTATGGTTAAACCTCAAGTTGACCAACCCACTCATTTTTAGAGAGAAGTTACAAGAATGGAATACCTTGGTGTTTGAACGGAGTTCGTCACTTAGGGTTGCAGTTCATCAGCGTGTAATCTTCTTTATGACTACGAGTTACAGTCGAAGAAAATTTACTCAGGGTTTGCAAATGGGGGATCTGCGGTTAAACGCAGGGAAAGGAGCATTTTGGTTAGGGGAAACGGCCGTTGGGAAGAAAAGTTAGTGGGTGGTGGAAAGTTAAGGGAAATGTTTTGATTTGTGTTGTTTTGGTCCACTTTTAACCTCAGTGTCCTATTCGAGATTCATTAAAAACGTTGGTGTCATTTTTGGCCCTTCTCCCTTTAAAAATTGAACATAAGTTACTATGATTTCATTATGACTACTCTAGTCACTAGTCACATTTTTTTAAACAATTTTTACTTTAATCACAAATATGTAATTATTTCATAAAATGCTACAATTGAAAATACATAAATGAACAGTATTTGTTTTCATAGCGGGGCTCCAACAATGAAAATGAATGATGGTGATTTTTTTAGCCTATATGATTTCTTGAAATTTTTCTTAGTCATGGGATCTTGTCCATTGTGAAATGATGAGTAATTTTAGAAATATTTTACTTCCTACTACGTATTGGGTCATTTTAGGTTTGGTAAACACTTACCTATTTACTTTCCTATTCACACTTGACATCTTAATTTCAAATTTTAAATCATAAAGATGTAAATTTGGGGTATCCAAATTATAAACTCGTAGCACAGGACTAAATTGAGTAGTTGTTTAATTTCAACTTTTAAATCATAAAGATGTAAATTTGGGGTATCCAAATTATAAACTCGTAGCACAGGACTAAATTGAGTAGTTGTTTAATTACAATGCTCAAAATAGAAAAACACATAGACCCATATATCAGTTCCGTACCATGGACCCTTTCTTTAAGGACTCATTCAAAGAATGAAATATCGGTGATACTCATTGTACTTTACACGGTTTTGAGCCACTTATATAAACGCAATTAGCTGGTGGCCTTTTGGTCACATGCAATAGTCCACTTGCACTTCCCATTTGTACAAATTCCCAAAATCAAAATGAGGACTTCAATCACTCACCACACCCTAATCGGAGGCGTTCGGTCAAGGCGGCAGAGTGGCTCCTCTGCGGCACCGCCCCGTATGATCCCGAACAGAGGAGCGGCTTTCAGGAATGCAATGCGAAGCCTATTCTCGTGTTTTTGCCGTCGTTCGACGCATTAATCAGCGGGGCGGTGTACCTCATTATATATAGTGTGTCCCATTTTGGCACATGTTAAGCGG